TTTGACTACGCCCTCTTTATAGATAAAAATCCTTTCTGATAGTAAAAAAGCTATTTTAATGAAATAATAACTGAAAAAAAGGTGTTACAAATAAAGCTGGATATTTCTGAAGTACTACATTAATGTATAATTAAAATGTTTGAAATTCTACCACAAATATTCTTTTAAAAATACCAACTTTATTATCTAATTATTTTGTTAATTGATTTCGAATAAATAATTTGTATATTTCAATGATTATTGTTTTATTAATTATTCTACTTTTAATAATGCACCCTATTTGCTAAATGAACACTTTTAAACTCTTGACAATATTCTATCATTTTTACTGAAACAGGTTAGGGATTTGATCGAATCACTTACTTTCCCTTAGAGAAAATCACCTTATAGAGTTCTTATTTTTAACAACTTGCATCAATTGATCATCTCTCCCTCAGGGATTTAATGAAATCCCTAATTTTAATCATTTCCCTACGACATAGACATATATTACAAATGATTATCCCAGCATAAAACAGAAGAGGTGCGCTGCTTTCCATTCGAGAGGGGAATCCATTACAGGCGAAAGTCCTGAATTATTTTCCCGAAGAAGATACAACCTTACCTTACTCGGGATTCAAACCCGAACCCACTCGGTTACAAGCCGAAGGTCATATTCCCCATACTAGCTGGGCAGCTTTAACAAATACGGTTTTAACATTTGGAATATATTTTCCAATAGCTGCTCCCTATTCCACCCCAGGGCAGGTCACGTTGGCCATGGTCGTGAATTCGTGGCCAGCGTTGCCGAGTCCTGGCGCCAATTAAGACTCGCCGCTCAGAGGGACTGATGCACGTAAAATCTATCGAGGTTCAAAGTCCTTACTTTGCTATGGTGTGGAAATTTGGAGAATGAGTGCTTAGCTCAGGATTGTCCTCGTCATTTCACCGTGGTTCGAAATGACGAGGTCCTCCACTCTGGTGTTGCTTTCTAGTGTGGACCCTGAAGGGAGTTGACCAATGGGACGGCTTATTTTTTAAGCATTTTTAGGACATTTTTTTATGACCACTAAAATGATAGATTATGGATAGATTTATCATTTTTTACATGTATCTTAAGAGTATTATATAAAATTTTAGCCTAAAATATCAAATAGAAGAGGATTTATAGCGCTCTGAATACAACCGCGTCTAAAAAATGGACACTCTCTTCCTCCACGATTCCGGCTAATTGGCTTATCTGAAATAAAAAAAAAAACTAACGGCGTTTTAATTTATAAGCTTAAATGCGCTGAATGTGAACTATACTCAATTGAAAATATCAAAAATTGGATTCTTGGTAGACGACTGAAGAAGAAGTTTGGAATTTCATTCGTTTTTTTTTTTAATATAAATAGAAATATTTTGAATTTTGGAATGATCGTAGTTTATTTGGTGCGTTTATTTGTGCTGAGTCTACTCTATAAATTTGAAATCATTCGGTCAAACCGTTCTTGCGATAGGATGGAGGAAAGTTTGAAAAACACAGTTTTGAGAAAAACGCGTTACTTAGCACGCGCCGAACAGCTACTCTTCTAACAACTACTTTTTTATATCGACTTCGAATTTTAAAAAATCACTTTACCGCCGTATTCTAGACATGTTAAGAAAGCAATTTATGAAGCAGAAAAAAAAACTTATTTTTTGAACCCATCACTGGGTGGAGCCTTTTAAATTTGTGTGTGATAAAGATTTTTACCAAACATTTGAAAAATTTTATGGAGATAAAAACAAACAAAAAATGCATGAAAAAGATTTCAAATTGAGGTACATCAAAAATAAAAACAATATTTCAAATGAAAAGACGAGAACTACAGTGGGTTCCAAAATTGAGTACGCACCATTTACTCTTTTTTTTTTTTTTTTAACAAAAAAATAAATACAAACTTACCATTAAAAACTTAATACTTATAGGAACATTAAAATAGACTTTAAAGAAGTGCATTGGTCAGAAAACAAATATTAAATCCATATAATATGTTTTAATTATGTATATTTTCGTAATAAAACTGAAATTTGGAGTCATAAAATTGAGTATACAAAAGAATTTAAAAGCTAAACACCACTTTTATTATTGAGATTTTCTTCAAACCATTTCTAACGTTGAACTCAAAGAGTACAAACGTAATAACAGTCGTTGCTATTTTTTTTTTTTCTGTCACGTGTAAAAACCATTGAGATGAACTCTAGGCGAGAAACGTCTGAAAAAGAACGGGCTTTGGTTATCAAGTGGTCGAAAGACGGCGAATCTTCGAAATTGCTTCATTGATCGGGAAAAGCCATGGTTGTATCAAAAAATACTACAAAAATATCGTAGAAATGGATGTGTGGCCAATATTCCAGGAAGAGGGCGCAAAGAAATTTTGAGTGCTACTGCAAAGAAAGATTATACGCTCAGTAAAGAAAAATCCACTGTTAAGCGCCCCGAAACTTGCATCATCGATATCATCAGAAATTGGAAAAATTTCAGCGAAACTGTCAGACGTGTTATTCATAATGCAGGATTTCATGGTCGTACTCAGTACGAAAGCCACTCATTAATTACGTCAATAGAAAAAGAGACTATCTTTTGCAAAGGAACACATTTCAAAGCCGGAATCATTTTGGAGAACACTGTTATTTTCTCTGATGAAAGCAAATTTAATCTTTACAGGAGCGACGGACAATATAAAGTGTGGAGACAAGTTGGGAAGGGAACTGGATTCTAAAAACACCAAAAGACTGTTAAGTATGGAGGTGGATCCGTCCTTGTTTGGGGTGTATGTCTGCAGGAGTCGGGAAGGACTTGTTTTCATTGATGGCATGGATAAAGTGGTATATTTGGAAATTTTTAAAATAATTTTTAAAAAGTGCCGTTAATGTAGGACTTGGATCAAATTTCATCTTTCAGCAGGGAAAATGACCCGAAGCATGCATACAGCGACGATTGTCAGAAGTTGTATTTATATTGTACCATTGCAGAAGGAACTACATACTCCTCCACCCCAATCTCCAGACTTAAATGCCATCGAAAATTTATGGTCTCAGTTGGAGAAATCCGTCCATGAGCATGCCATAACGAGTAAAGAGGGTTTAAAGAATGTCTTAAAAGTAGAAGTGGACCAAAATCACAGTGGAAACCCTAAAAACTAGTGGAATGGTTACATGCCTAAATGGTTACAAAAGCTGTGATCAAGGCAAAGGTTTTGCAACTAAGTATTAATTTACTTCCTGTAACAAAATGAATTAAAGTATATACTCAATTTTGTGGTGGTGTTTTTCTTCCAATTGTTATTATTTTTTATTTTTGCATAAAAATAAGCCATATTGCATAATTTTTACTTCACATACATGAAGAGGATAAGAACAAGTTTAAATAGTTAAAAAACACGATTTTCTTAATGAATAACTTAGCCGGTTAAGAAAGTACTTAGTATATAGGGTGTTGGTGTATAATCAATTTTGGGACTCACTGTATGTATGGCTTAGGTGAACTGTAAAGAGGAAGATGACAAAATTATATTTCGATTATTTAATTCTGTATCAAAAAAATAGACATTTACAGTAAAAAATCAACTTGTAAGTAGGTGAAATCCATACTTCTGTTATTAAAAGGAAATTAAGCTAAAAAAAAGTGTATACATGTGTCTGAAAGAAAGAAATAGTTATGTTCTACCCCTTTCATAAAATAAAACTTTCCTGATTAGTAAAATATTTTCTGATGTTTATTTTGTTTTGCTTTCCCATTTTCTAAACAGCATACTCGTTTTGGCTCACGGGCTACATTGTTTGGGTGGAGGGTACCAGAGGACCACATTTTTGAAAGGATTGCATTCATAATAAATAAAATAGTGGCAGCTTTTTATTCAATTTATTTATTGTACTCATTTCATATTGTCTATAGCTTTCGGTAAACACATTTAATTTAAGAATCAGTTTAATGAGGCAAATGTACTCATTACATTTTTCTACGTTTTTTAAATCTGGAGGGAGATAGTTTGTTACAATTCCCCTCACAACCTGCAAGTTGATGTCAGCCAACTTGCATCTAAATTTACTCCTGTTAATCTTCAAGCAAGAAAAACTTTGCTCACAAATATATGTCGCAAATACATTTTCTTCCCACTCTGATCGGATGGCCGCGGTAGCCGTGTGGTATAGGTATCGGATCGTGGCTTGCCTAGTCAGGAGTTCGAGCCCAGTACCACTAAAGACCCGCCGTGTAGGGCAGCGATGCACGTTAAATATGTCGAGAGCTGAAACGTCCTCCCATTGGTGTGGTGTAGTAGTTAGGAGAGGGGGTGCCAGCTCAGGTGTCGTCCACGTCACTTGACCATGGTTCAAAATGACGTGGTATGTCGCCAAAAGCCCTCGTGTAGCTGGGTTATTTTTAAGTGGAGCACCTAGCCCTTCTGGGGCTTTAACCTCCTATCCGACTATGATGAGACATGAATTGATAATTTGCCCTTTTGTTACATGGTATGAGGAATATTAAAATTAAAACATTTTTTCATAAAGAATTTTACCTTGAAAATAGAAAGAACTAGCTTTCGAATTGAGGTGAGGCTTAAATCAGAGTGACAGTTGTTTTCATGACTTTTCGATTGGTGTGATCTGATTAATGCTGTTACACGATCGTGCAATAGCAACTAGGAAAATATTTAGTTTTTCTACATCGTTATTAGTTTTGGCCATGTCTTCCAGTGCCCGGAAAATTTCCGGAAACTTGGAAGTCAGGTTTTGGAGTTCAGTAATATAAGTCGCGAAATTTTCAAACTTAAAAGTTGGTTCCGCGTTATCTTGAGTTTTTTCGTTGGATGATTTATTGGTTTTCACGGGAGTTTCCCCTCGTGGTGCCATCTTTTGTTTGGTTTTGTTACTACAGACGTTAGCGTAGCTAAATTCTGGAGTAACAATTCGGCTTTGATTTATGGTGTTTTTACTTGCTGGGGTTTCTCCCTTTTTTGGTTTTATTTTCGGAAAGTTTGGGCATTGGCGACTAGTCGCCATATGTCCGTCTTCGTTGCAATTTATGCAATGGAGAGTTTTTAAGCGATCGGTTATTGGGCAGTTTTTAGTTATATGATTTTCTCCGCATTTAAGACACCGTGGTGTCATTCTACACTCTTTACTTGAGTGGTTGAAATAATTGCAGTTAAAGCACTGAGAAGCGCCCGGTCTCCTACGGAACGGGACGACTTCTACAGTGAGATAGTTTACATTTTTAATCTTGTAGATATCTTGGGCGTTATTATTTGATTTTTTAATTTGGACCATGAAAAGTGTGGAAGTGGGGATTTCGTTGCGAATTTACGCAACTGTACGATTTTTTCAACGTTGAAACCTTTTTCTTTTAGATCTGATTCAATATCGGTGATATTCGTGGATGCCGGTAATCCTTTGATCACCGCTTTGATCACCGCTTTGATTATTTTAGGGTGTTCGATGACATAGTGATCCGCTTTTTTGATTATTAAAAGTTGTTTAATTTTTTCTTGATCTTCAGCCGTTGCCGGCTGGATTCGAATATAGTTTCCGGTATTTTTATTTTTTGTATCAGGGTAAGATCTATTTATATATATATATTTCTTGGAGTATTAAATTATAGTTCTTTCCTAAACGCATCATGATTGGTTGTACCTTAGGGGTGGGTGCGGGGGTGATCTCCATTATTTCC